TTAATTGCTACCTGCCTTAAAACATAATATTTAACTAAGTAAATGCACTAATAAATATATTACATATTTATGTGGTATTTATACAAAAGATAATGTAGGAAATTATTAATTGTTCTTTTCCAGGAAGTTTTTAACTGAAATATAATTGACATTAATAGTTGGAAAATTGCAACAATTATTTGAATAATGAAGGTTATTTTCTCAAAATTCATTACTCCAGACTATAGAGAGAAAAGGTGAAAAAGCAGTATAAACAAAGGATGTGATACCTATTGGGTCTGCATAGAAACAGAGAGGGACACTAACAAGTCATTTATATGATGATGATAATGATACCCAGTAACAAGCTTTGCCAATGCCAAGTGCATCTGTAATGTTCAAAAAAGGAATTAACATTAACTAATTGTGTAAAATAAAATTTGTATTTTTTGTCATAACTTTTTTATGCTTTAAATTAGCTTTGCCATGCAACATGCACTTTGTAAACAGCTTCCAAAAACTACACGAAATACATAATTTTTAGGACTGTGAATGGTGACAGAAAAAATTCCCATATGATCATTTTATAACAGCAAAATTCATTAACCATGTTAATACTCAGAAAAATATCACAACCTATTAGTTAGGTATTTGCTTAATACCCCCCCCATTGTGTCCTTGACAGGCCACAAATCTCAGTAGTCCAGCATTAGTGTTCTGCTATGATAAAGGCATAAAAAATGGAGATGAATCGTTTGGTTGATTTTTTTTTTAAACTGAATTTGAATATTTCAACCAAAATTGAAAGTAAATTATTATTCTGTTATACAATGACTGCTTAAAATATAGCGCAGAATTGATAGACAACAAACATTTTGAATATATAGAACTGACACAAATAGGGAAAAAAAATACTAGGTTGCTTCTTAATAACTACTCAAAGAACTCCAAGAACGTAAACTGAGATGTAACTGGAGGAATAATAGGAAGAAAATCTGCCCTTACTCCTTCTGCAAGACTTTAATCTCAAATTACTCTTCTCCCACCAGCTTTCTCTGTTATTGCTTCCACCCTACACCAGCCACTTCATGCTAATTATGCTTCCCACAGTGTAACTTACTGTTTCACATCTTTATTCATTTGGAACTCTCAGGCTCTAAGGTTTCTCGGCCTGAAAGGTTGTTCTTTCTCAACCTCCAGTTTTATTTTGCCTACTTACTAAAAAAAGACCTCTTTCATTTTTATGCCCTAAAACATTACCTTCTCAATGATGCCTTTTTAGACCAGTTTCCAACAGTCTTAGAATTGCTTATGATTTAGTTTCATTATAATGTAATGAACTTAGTATCAACTCAGCCAGAGCAGGTAGAAAAGCAAAAGGAATGCATTAGTAAGATGCTGGAGCAAAGGTAAAAACCAGAATTGTCCTATATGACCACCCCACTGACAGCAAGTGTGGCAGGATGCAGAGCTCAGTCCTCTTGTCTTCACCTCTTGTCTACTGGAAAGTGAACCATTTGCACAATAAGGCATTGACTCACTGCTGGCAGAAGTGGTGAATATTAGCAAGAGAGACCTAAGTGTTGCTCTCTGAAGGATTTCTGTTGAGCCTACTAAGACTGAGACAGACACTGAGTCTGGTGAGTAGAAGCAGCTACTGACGCTCAGCCAGGACTAAAGGAAAGAGAAAACTAGAGGAAGGCAGGCACTTGGGGGAGAGTCCATCTACAGACTGGTGGATTCTGCAAGGCCTGAGAGGTTGGTTTTTCACTGGTCTCTAGCTTTAGTGCATGATAGAATCACCTAGAGGATCTGAACTAAAACAGAGAGCAAGGCCCCATATCCAGAGTTTCAGATTCAGTGGGTCTGGGATAGAGGCTGAGATCTGCATTTTTAACAAGTTCCCAAGTGATGCTGATGCTGCTAATCCAAGTGTCCACACTTCGAGAATGAGCATCTCATAGGAAAAATAACATCTGGGATTAGCTATGAGTTAGACCGAGTTCTGGCAATCAACTGCATCTGTCATGCACTTCCCTGTATTATGGGGTATAATGACTAGGTTACACATACACACATATATATGTAGATAGAAAGATACATATATATGAAGACACATGACTTATATATAAGTTCACTCTTTCAAAACTCTTAAAATATGGAGTTAAGAGTTTTATACTTCACATGGAATGATGTATTTCTGAGAGATCACTTCTCTTTCACATACAGTAGATAAACACATTTTTTTTGTGTTTGATAATTGAGTAGGACTGCAAATAAAGAAACCACAAAAATCTTAAGTAAAATATATTTTGTTCTTATGTGTGTACTGTTGCTACCACACTTTATTTCTTGGGTTTGTAATTTGTCTTACTCAAGTTAATTATCATCATCTTAATTGTCTCAAATCAAAGGGAGGAAAAAAAAATGGAAAAAACAGATGACAAATAATAAAGAAAAGTCATTTCAGTAGGGGAAAACAGAAGATGATATAAAATGAGGAAGCATTCTAGAGAGCCAGAGACAAAGGAATATGAGTCTCTTCACATGCTAAAATGGGAAGAGGGGAAAAAACAATTGATAGTTTTGGATTCAACTGTTTCAGCATCAGAATGATACCATTTCTTCTCTGGACAATTCTTTCACTGAACCATTTAAAATACATGGTAGATTTTTGCCAACATTTCAATAAGACAAGCCTGTGAAGACTGATCCTTCATTAATTCCTGGATTTAAAAAGCTGTCTGTAATGTAGAAATCCATAAAAATGTAAGCTGGCCTTAAGCCATAGGCTCAAATCCTGCTTTGTAAAAATTCTACATATCAACTCCCTAGATTAACTGTGACTGGCATTTCTTACTAGAGTACTATGAAAAAATTCACTCTTATGATCAATGCTACTAAATTAAAGAGCTAAAACAATCTATAATGGGTGTCATGATGATACAATTCTCTTTAGGAAAAATCACTCATATGTGGCTTTAAAAAATGTTCAAAGGCAAATGAAAAATCTTTTTTATAAAACAACTAGAATATCGCATTTGCATTGAAATAGTTCTCTTTAGAAAAAGACACCTGATCATCAAAATATGT